AGTGAATACAACTGGTTTATCTTACTTTGGCATTGGACTTTTGTTTTGGAAATGTGACTCTAATTTGAATGCTAAATGGGAAGAATTATAAAGATCGGCACCTTTTTTCACTTTTGTTTTTCTATTTGGCACTTTTTGGCACTTTTTTATCCTCAATACGGGACTTCATAGCTAAGTATAGTTGGAAGCCCTATTCCCAAGAGGTGGTCAAATCTCATGAAGCGTTTGCTCCCGCGCATCGCAATGTCTTCTACACAGGGTTAAAGTAACCCTTTTTCGTAAAAATTACTATTATTTTTCATTACATTCAGTTCTCCTTAGAAAAATTTGGCACTAAATATTTTAGTGGATATTTTAACCACCTATAAGCCATTTTTTAAACAGTGGGTCAGAAAGGCCCGTTCTGGTGGAAGTTGACCAAACCTTGTTTTCAATATACATATAACCCGCAAAATATCGTAACAACCCCGTAATTTAACATAACGGCTGATAAGATTATTGCAAAAAATTTTTATATCGACATAAATTACCCCAATAACTAAACTTTTTAAATTTTTTTATTTCCTTAAATTTAAGTAGTGTATACGGATTTGTAGAGAAAATAGAGATGTATTTATATACGTTGGACTTTCTTCTGTTTGCTCATCCATCAGCGGCAGACACTCAACATTTTAATTCAAGTAGAAAGTAACGTAATTTTAATTTAAAACTAATTTAATGAATTAATTAAATACAATTACAATCTGAATTCGCATGGCCAATGCCTAACGCTGACGAGATGACATGATAAGATTAGTAGCTTTATGTCTCTTTGGAATCTACCTTATGGTATTCTTTTTCAAGTTGACCACGCCGCCGCTGCAAAGCCTGCCGGCGTAAACCTCTAATCTGGACCACTTCAAACGTAAAAAACTGATATACAGTATCGGTCATATCTATAGCACGCCATTTCAAAGTGATATTGTGTGCAACTTATGTTTATTTATTTATTTTTAAGAATTTTCAATTAAAATACAGTTCTTTCTCTAACAAACCCCATATAAAAACAAGTTTAACAATTTGTAGAAAACTTCAAAAAAGTGCAACAAATTTTCAC